TTTTTTTTCTGGGGTCACGTGAATGCATTTGGAGACCCATTTTGGTAAATTCGGTCTAAAATCGTAATCTAAAATCTTCATATTTTGCCGTGTTTGTTTGACCTCTAAATCGATATATATTAAAAAAACATCTGCAGCATATCATTATCTATCATTGTATCATTAGTATGCTTTTCAGTTCAATCTGTTTTTGATTAACGATGAGAAGAGGAGTTAATGGAATCGACGCTCTGGAGACGATAAACGCCGCCGCCACCGTCATCTCGTCCGCCGAGACCCGCGGTCCTCGTGATTCCGTCCAGGTATTATGAGGCGGTGACTGTACTTTGGGTTTTTACAATTCTCGTTAACCTTACACTGTGAATTTGATGATTTATGTATTGTGGTTATATAACGATTGGGTGTCTTCATCTTTTAGAGTTCATTCATTTGTTTGTTTTGTTGAGATTTGAGATCTGATGTTTTTTCAATCGAAAAACGTTTGTGTGTAGTGTTAATTTTAGCTTGAATTTGAGCTTCTTTTTTTTTTCCTGGGAAATTTTTCGATTGAACTTGATTGGTGTTTATAAGGTTGGACCTGTTGGGTGTAAATTCCCATGATCCCTTTTTGACATTTGAATGATTAACGCAATTATATGCAGGGGCGAAGCCAGCCTCAAATTTCACCGGGGTCGGCAATATTTTTTAGCGGGGTCATTAACCTAGTAAACAGTGTTTGAACAGTATTTTATACTAAGAATTTTGAAATCTATAGGGGTCAGCTGACCCCTACATTAGCATGTAGCTTCGCCCCTGATTATATGGTGATTTTTTTTGAGTACATAATTTTTTATATTCATTGTTCGATCTATGGTTTGGGACTAAAAGGCTTTGTTGTTGTCGTTGTTGTTGTTGTTGTTATTGTTCGATCAATAGAAACGAAGCATCCAAAGGTATGTTTGTGGAACCTACCATCAATTATACAATAAAATTAAGAAAAAGTTTCAGTTAATAATAAAGCCTTTTCCCAACTGCTCTGCTTACTGTGGTGTAGTTTGTTAGCCCATCATGTTTCTTTACCTTTTTTATTAATTTGTCACAATTGATTAAATAGTCTTTACTTTTCCTTTTTATTAATTTGTCACAATTGATTAAACGGTCTTTTGGAAGTTGTTGTGGTTGCAAATATTACAGTGTCGGTCTTTTGGAAGTTGTTGTGGTTGCAAATATTACAGTGTTTCGTAGATGTTGGATGTTATCTGTTTTTACAAGATGCAAATTAGCACAGTTGAAAGTTTCAAAATTTGATTATGTATGTCGCCTTTTAGCTCCGTAAAGAGTTCCATTACAATTAGTTGATGTGAGAGAGTTATACAAGGGCTTTTCCTGTTTTCCTTCACTAGGCCACCACAATTAATATGTTATTTTTAGCATTAGGATCTGAACATTAGACCTTTATTATTTAAAAGCAATCTGAGCATTGAAAGGTGGACACTTTATAAATATTGGCGTTGCAGACAGTTATGCGTGGGCTTCTTGTGAGGTTGTGTTACTTGTTCCTAATGTTAAAATCTGGTGCCATAGAAAGTTGCATGAATTGTATGATAAAGCTTAGAAGCTCAGACAAGGGTTGATGCTGTTTAAGTATTTCAAATCAGTTTGATTTGATTTTCGTATTTATTTGTACAACCTCATTTTGGGAATGTGACTGTGGAGGAGACCTGTTTTTCTGTCCTTATCTGTTTAAGTCATTTTTTTTATCGTTTTGGTTTTTTCAATCCATGCGCTATAACTAAATGCTCTAAACAAGCAGGTGATGTGTCTTTGTACAGCATAAGTCTCAAATCAAACAGTGGTATTTTCGATTTATGAACATCCTGAGGCAGTGGACAGTTGTTGACATCAATTTTACTGTACCTCTGTGAAATCAATGCTTTGGATTTTCACGTAACCACTTAATATAGTTTAGTAGGTGAGAGTCGTAAGTGATGAGTGAGATTAATGAGAAAAGTGAGTAAATTAAGCATAATTTTTTCTTACAACTGCAGTTATTCTGCAGTCTGCAGCCCGAACAAATTGCAGATCTGATGATTGCTTTCCTGTTTTTTTATTGTTCATTCCTTCTAAGACATGAAGATGCTGAAAAACGATGTCAGAGCTAAAGGAACAAAAGATATGGTTTTCCTGGACAATTAAAATTGAGTTATTTGATGCTAGTTTATTTTGGGATAGTAGATGAAATCTCCACGCCCCACGGTATGCTGTTATCTAAGATAAGGCATGAAAGTTTATCACCAGTGATCCCTGGCACATATAACATTGTGCTATTTAATTTTCTTTGAAATTGGCTATTGTCGGTTTAAGATGTTGGAATTATTTTGGTGAAATTTTTTAGCATGCTTCCAAAAACTTTGGATGTTTCATTTTTGTCTGCTTGCGGTATGTTGAGTCATTTTATTAGCTTCTAGGAATACCATTTCATTATGTTTGATGACTAATATATGCACTTCCATACTAGCATTGGGTATTTCTCCTTTGAGAATTGGAGAGGTCTGGTTATAATTATCCAGGATATATATGTAACGAATCTTCTTGACTGCCCGTGATTTTACTGAATCATTCTATTGTATTTAGGCAGAAGAGAATAATGTATTGGGACGATTATTCTGTCAATATGCAGCAGTGACCTTACTCTCATCTTCAGCCTCAGTTCTGTCAATTTTGAAGCCCATCACTCATTTATTCCCGTAACTTGACATATCTGTACTCATCTTCAGCACATATTTGCAGAAAAAGCGCTGGGGAAGCTGCTGGAACCTTTACAGATGTTTCGGCTCAAGCAAGAACAATAAACGGATAGGGCACGCTGTCCTTGTTCCTGAACCAACCACACCCACCGAGAGGCCCGACCCTCCCGCATCCGAACACCTACCCCCAAATCAGCCTCTGTCCATCACAGTCCCCTTCGTGGCTCCACCTTCCTCACCCGCCTCATTCCTCCCGTCCGAACCCCCTTCCACAGCCCAATCCCCTAAAGGCCTGCTAACCCAAGTGACCTCTGTATCATCAAACATGATGTCCTCCCCCAGTGGGCCCACCTCAATATTCGCCGTTGGGCCATATGCCCACGATACCCAGCTGGTCTCACCCCCCGTCTTCTCGACATTCACCACCGAGCCCTCCACCGCCCCTTATACCCCTCCGCCCGAGTCGGTCCACATGACCACGCCCTCGTCCCCTGAAGTCCCATTTGCGAGGCTTCTCGAGCCAAATAGCCAAAACAGTAGCCAGAGATACCCATTCACTCAATACGAACTCCAGTCCTATCAGCTTCAGCCGGGCAGCCCGGTCAGCCATTTGATCTCCCCAAGCTCCGGGATATCCGGCTCGGGCACGTCCTCCCCGTTTCTCGACCTTGATTTTGCTGCCGCCAACTGCCCGTTCTTCCTCGAGTTCAGGACGGGCAACCACCCACCTAAGCTTCTGGATCTTGAGAAGATCGTGAGTGACGCCATGGGGCCCAGGCTGGATCGTGAGAACTCGGATGTGAGCCCGCTTCGTAGAGGACTCGTGAGCGACGCTCCTGTGGTGAATCATAGAGTGTCATTTGATATGAATGGAGATGTTGAACTCGTGCGGTGCGCAGAAAAGAAGCCATTGGCCTATCCCGAATTAGAACTGGGGTCGATCGGGAATTTTGAGCATACAAGAGAAGAAAAACGCATGAAACCAGAGAACGGGTCCAAGCATGAAGAAACTCCTGATATAAATCGTGCTGATGATGGTGACAACAGTGATCATAAACAGCAAAAGACCCGTAAGTTCACGCTTGGCTCGGCTAAGGAATTTAATTTTGAAAGTACGAGTGACAGGATTTATGACAAGCCGGGTATTGATTCGTCCAATTGGTGGGTGAACGAAAAGGTTGCTGTCGAGGATGGGTCTCCCGATAACCACTGGCTGTTTTTCCCGCCTGGTCGTTTCTCTCGATGATGCTGACAGTGGTTAGTTAGCTGTTAGCAGTTACTGAAAAAAACGGAAAGAAGTCTGGATTGAGAGCTTTGATGATGATGACTTGGTGGACATTTTGAAACTCACAGTAGAATTTTAAGAAAGCCAAGGAGTTGGGGGTTGTTGTGATTGGGAGGAACCGACTCTTTTTACCCGAAGGCAGTTGTTCTTAGCGCTTCCCGTACAGGAACAGACATGACAGCGGGCTGACACTTGAGGATAGTTTTAATGAAATGATGCTCGAGGCACGCATCTTGAAGCTTCGTCCGTTTAGGTATTTTTGCTTTCTTGTATATGTTTGATAGAATATGTTAGTAGCTAGAAATGCCAGTGAAAATGCTGCTGCTGCTACTTATACTACAAATGATAAAATATTAGAATATGATTCATTTTTTAGGTTTGGGTTTCTTAGGTTTGTATTGTGCTTCATCTTCATTTTTCGTTTTGTTTTCTGGGGAAAAAAAAAAATCAGGTACATGTACATCATTTGCTAGGACGTGAATAATCTGTTATTTTCCACACCCCTATGGCTACTGCGCTTACTATACAGCTCTATGAATTAGCCAGCTAACCGAACCTTCTACGGCTACCGCGCGTACTGTACCGCGCCTTATAATAGTACTGAAGATATTTTATTGGGTGGGTTTGGTGAGGTTCTTAAAACATATTGATTTCATGACAATCTGTATTTGATAAAATAAAATCGGAAGTTGATTACATGAGGGTCATTTGGCCACCAGTATCCAGCCTTACTACCAATTTACCATACCCTAAATCTTTTTAAGAATTATCCAGAGAGACTTTGAGTGAGATCTACGGGCCCCACTTCTCTCCCAGAAGTAGGAAAAGAAAACCCTCTTGCGCTGTCCCACCTTTTCCGCTGGCGGGCTTCAATGCCCTTCAGGCCGGCCTGATCGAGGTGCGACTGGGGCTCTCTCTTCGCCTCAGAACCCGACAGGAGATCTGTTCGACGGTGGTGGGGTTGTTGGTGGAGGTGGTGGAGCACGGGTCCCACAGGGAGATGGAGAATGCGGCCTCCCTGTTGCTGTAGTTGTGCGTGGGAAGCACAAAATTCTGCAAGTGCGTGCAGCAAGAAGGTGTCGTGCCACCAGCCACCGATGTTCGCACTGTCAGGCACCCCTGAGGCGATGGTTTCGGAAGAGGCACCGTCCACCGTGTTCCGGCTGGACCCCGGTCTGCGGGAGTGTGCTCGTGCGCTTTCAACTTTTCAACCTGAAGGATGTGGTGGTCGTTAGGTTGCGTACAACTTTGGCCTTTTTGGCTATGTGTTGCTATGGGGGCCCTCCTTCGGTCCTGGTTTCGAGCCCTCCAATATTTCGTGGCGATTCCTCCTCTGTACCCGACGCTGAAGTCATATGGAGTTCATATCGGGAACGAGAACAACCTCCTCGTCAAATCTGTCTAGGCGGTTCGTCCACAGTTTTTTTTGGGTCTGGGTTTAGATTTGTAGTTTTGTTGTGATTTTTAGTTGCAGTGTGGGCCTCGGGTGTCGGTTTGGATGGTCTTTTGGCTCGCCTGCTAGGTTTAGAGGAGATTTTACTCTATTTGTTTATTAGGTGTGTGTTTTTCTTTTGTCTTTATGAGTTTATGGTTTGTTAAGTCCAACGTCGTCTGACATCTAGTCTCCTTCATGGAGTTAGAGTCTCCTAGTTTCGTGTCTCTCGTTGTCTCCTCGATGGATCCCTTCAACACATGTGTCGTTTCAAGGGGGATGGTCCAGACTTTGTTCTGGTTCCTTTGGTGTTAGTCGAGACTTCCATTGTACTTTATTTATTTATTTATTTATTTATTTTGTGCCGAAACGATAGGATTTTATAAATCACACAAAAGTACAAAAAGAAAGTATCTCAAAGTTGAATGATTACAACTAAGAGCTTAAAACTGGGAGGACAGATACAAAGATCGCCTAGAGATGCTCTAGCAACGCTAGACCGACACTACAACACTAACTAAAAAATAACTACAAAGCTCCCAACAAAGCGAATGATTGATCCTAAAAAGATAATTCCCGTTCTCACTTGGGTTCACAAAGGCCAACGGTCCAAACTAAAAACACAAGTCCTAAACAACAACGAACACAACAAAACAAAATTAAACCTAACAGAATCAAAACTAGAAAAACACAGTCCTGTCCCAACAGTAAAACGATCCCCGTACTAAGCACCGGTGGGCGCACATTCGAACCCGCAGAACAATCCGTTGCTTGAAGAACCAACTGAATAATTCAATTATTTTGGTTCAGTTTTAGATTGATCTTTCAAAATAATAATAATAATAATAATAATAATAATAATAATAATAATAATAATAATAATAATAATAATAATAATAATATCACACGACAATATGCACAGTAGTATAACACATGATGCACATTAGTCACTGTTAGACTGCACAATAGTGTTAGAACAAACGCATAGTAATGTGTTAAAAAATGCACATTATCATAAATATGTGCGCTTTCGAAAAATATTAGAATTAAGGATATTTCAGTTCGAGTCGACTTTGGTTACAAAATAATAAAAAAAAAAAAAATAACATGACCAACAGAACTATACAAAAAAAATAAAAGTAAGTATAACTTATCTATATAAATATTATTTATTTTCATAAAACAACAATATAAAGTATTGACTAAAATATTACAAATGCTAAATATATTTTTGTGAAAAAAAAAAAATAATTACACTTGGAATGCTCATTAGAGTTAGACTGATTGCACATTAATGACTGTTAAGTTGCACTTTAGTGTTATACAAATTGCACATTAGTGACGATAAATTGCACTTTAGCGACTGAACCCGCTCAAATTCTTTTTTTGTGTTTGGATTTTACGTTGGCTCGATTATACGTGTGTACTATTAAAATTTTAGTTATTTCGGTTCGATTATACATGTTCAAATTTGACATGAATGATCAAATGGCTCAAAAATTATTCTTATTTATTTCATTGTCCCTCT